TTGTACACAATTTTGAGGGTGACTTACCCCTCGCCTACGAGTATACCTACTAAAATGATGAAATTTCAAATTTTTGTATGTTGAGATTTTGCAGGGGGTAAACCACCTAGGAATTATTGTCACCAGCTTGGGGAAATATGTGGCAATACGGGGAAATACAGGAAAATATTAGGTATTACGGGGAAATATAAGAAAAATACATTGCAATATGAGGAAATATAAGGTATTATTAGGAAATATCAGGGTATTATTAGGAAATATCAGGGTATTATTAGGAAATATCGAGGTATTATCAAGAAATATCAAGGAAATATCCAGGTGTTAGTAGGAAATATCAAGGTATTATTAGGAAATATGGAGGAAATATCATGGAATTATTAGTGCATGTAACGTAACGAGAACACCCAAACATTCACGATGCCAGTTTTGTAAGTAAACTTTAGTATTTGAAATTAACTCAGTAAATAAACTCTAAAGCCTGATTAATAAACTCCACCGTTCTTCGTTTCCTTTCCGAACCGCATCGTTACCCCTTGGTAAACATTCAACTCCACCGTTCGTCCTTGTTCAGTAGCCAATCAAATTAGACAATTTTGCCATTTAGTCGATTTCGGGTTATGATGTGTTTCCAACAGTCTAACAGATTATATTATTAGTATTATATGTATACTATAATTTTAAACAAAAATCAAGAAAACACACAATTCATTAATCGGGTATTTTCTTACTGACTTTAACTGCCGTTTCGGCTGAAAAAAATTATACATGTTTAGGCAAGTTTTCCTGAAGCCAGTCCTGTTCTTTTCGTTTTTCTTCCTATCTTCAATCTTCTTGTTGTAGAAATGCTGCAAGCTGGTCCTGTTCTTTCTGTCTTTGGTCTTCTTCTTTTTGTTTCTTTCTCTGTCTTTGGGCTTCTTGTTGTTGTAAAAGTACTGCAAGCAATGCATGCCGGTCTTTTTCTCCTTGTTTTTCTTTCCATCTTCAAACTTCTGCTTTCAGTTTTTCCTCCAGTTTTTCCTTTTGTCTTCAGTCTTCCTCTTGTCTCTTGTCCTCCAAAGTTTTCATGAAGTCTGACAAGATTTGATTAACTTGCTCCATTTCGGATACTGTCGGTTTACTGTCATCTATTCACCTGTATTTTTCTTGAAACTTCATTTTGAATCTAAAGTTCTCTGATGAAGTGAAATTTTAAACACAATGGAATATTTTAGAAAAACCCTAGGAAAAACCACTCTGTGGACTTTTTTTTTTGATATCGAAATCACTCATGAACTTACTATTCTTGTATCACTCACAGTTTCCAAATAGAATTCTATGGAAATTTCTAAAATTTTCCAGAAAATCTGCTTTTGAGCTTGTTTTAGATGTTGAAACCAATACAGTCACTATTCTTGTAGTCCTCACGGTTTTCAAATAGAATTCTATAGAAGTTTCTTCTTTAAATAGAACACCATGGAATTTTTAAAAAAATCCTCGAGAAAAGCCGCTTGTTTAGCTGGTTTTTCGATGTCGAAGCCAGTAATTAAATCTTTTATTACTTCCAGTTTCCAAATAGAATTATATAGAAATTCATGGAATTTCCCAGAAAATCCGTTTGCAAGCCTATTTTAAGATGTAAAATCTGGTAATAAAGTCACTTTTCATTTCAATAAAGGCTCTTTGATTTTTCCCCCTCTAATTAACGAATAGAAAGACGCGAGTCCCGAGTAAACAATTCATTTTCTCAGAATTCTCGCCAGGTTTTCAATACATTTTCGTAACAATAATAAAGAGAATATTGGGGAATTATCAGAAATTACCAAAAAATTATGTTAAATATTAGAAATTACCGCAAATATAAGGGAATTATAAGGCATTATGGGGAATTATGAGGCAATATCGGGAATTACAGGAAAATATAGGAAATAAAGGCAATATTCGGGAAATAATTCCCCCAAGGGGAAATATTTGTCAATGATCTCAGGGGTGTTTTACCCCTTGAAATTTTGTGTCTAAATGGATTATTGGGACCTCGATTGGGACAAATTATGGCTATTTAAGTCTTGCATAAGGATTTTGCAAAGATACCAATCAACTGCCAAGAGAGGTACCTAGATCTGTCTAATTTATCTTTTATTAGGTTGTTTTACATACAGGGTTGCCCACGGTGGATGGCGTATTAGACGTTTATGGAGAACTAAAAAGCGAATCATTTTGAAAATTTGGCAACCGGGATAAACGACCATGATCTACACTTTAAAAATATTTTTGACCATGCGGTGTTGCCGTTAAACTAGTGGCAACATCACTATTTTAAATGGAACACCCCATATTTAATTGCATATTTGGATTCTACGTAAACTTCTGAGCAGATTTCATGTGATATACCCTATACCCTATACCCTATACCTAAGTTCAACTGTTTTGGAAATATTGACAGTTGAAAATTGACTTTTTGCAACTTTGACAGGCTGTAAAACCTAATTGGTTAATTTTAGAGGAAAACCGATTTCACATTCCTATCTTAGATTTTGATAAACTATCATTTAACACCAACTTTGAACTTAACCAGAGATTAAATTTAACTGAAATTTTTAATCATGGATTTAATTCTAAGTTGGTGTCAAATGATAGTTTATAAAAATCTAAGATAGGAATGTAAAATCGGTTTTCCTCTAAAATTAACCGTTCAGGTTCTACAGCCTGTCAAAGTTGCAAAAAGTCAATTTTCAACTGTCAATATTTCCAAAACAGTTGAACTCAGGTATAGGGTATATCACATGAAATCTGCTTAGAATTTTACGTAGAATCCAAATATGCAATTTAATACAGGGTGTTCCATTTAAAATAGTGATGTTACCACTAGTTTAGAGTAGAAGCGGCAACACCGCATGGTCAAAAATATTTTTAAAGTGTAGATCATGGTCGTTTATCCCGGTTGCCAAATTTTCAAAATGATCCGCTTTTTAGTTCTCCATAAACGTCTAATACGCCATCCACCGTGGGACACCCTGTATTAGGTTCTATTATTCAATTATTTATTTATTTATTTATTTATTTATTCTACACTACAGAAATAAGGTCTATAAACCTAGCAGTCCCAAGGTGGAAAAAAACTTCGGGAACTATATAATAATTAGGTGCTTTTTAGGAGCACCTAATTTTTAATTAGAGGCCCTAATTAGCACCTAAAAAGCACCTAATTATTATATAGATCCCGAAGTTTTTTTGCCATTCTAACACACCAACAAGTAGACGTAAAGCCAGCAGTCCCCTAATAATTAAAAAAAAATCTGTAACTCAGTTAATAATTAATCAATTCTATTTTTTCTTGGACTATTTAGGAGCACCTAAAAAGCACCTAATTCTGATACAAAGAAGAAATTTGAAAAAAATATTTTTCACTATAGGGGACTACTAGCTTTCATAAACCTAGCAATCCCTTAGGTTTTTTTGATTTTCTCAAAAACTAGAGGAGCACCTAATTTTTAATTAGAGGCCCTAATTAGCACCTAAAAAGCACCTAATTATTATATAGTTCCCGAAGTTTTTTTCCTCCTTGGGACTGCTAGGTTTATAGACCTACAGAAATATACAATGCAATGGGTATATAATTATTCAATGTTAACAATCTGCGAGTTGACTAAACTCATTTGATGTACAATGTACTAAAAGTCTTATACACTGAGTTACATCGAATTTGACTAGGGAGATTTTTGAATGCATGGATACAAATTTTATGAAAATATAAGGTGCGAATATTAATATTTCATACCTCCTCTGTATAGAGCAGACTAGCTTCTTTGTTTTCTATAAATTATTTTCAATATGTAGTTTCAAACCTCATTCAGCATTAATAATGTATTTTCAAATTATTCATTAGTACTATTATTCAAAATCTATATTGTTAATAATTTGAATTTGAAATATCCTAATAGTACATTTACTGTACGCTGACGACTTGGAAATCTTCTGTACCGTCAATCAAACAAAACAGACACTCCAAACTGAACTCAATCAATTTGTAGGATGGTGAGGAATACACCACCTTCATCTTGATGCTGGGAAGTGTAAACATAATATGTCATTTTACCGAATCCAAAATTCCTGTTACTATAGTTTACAGAATAAATAACACAGAGCTATAGTCCGGCAAATACCATTTTAAAGTCACGAAATACTGGTGGCAAAAAACGTATGTCCATTGAATATGTCGTTGATATCACCTACAAAAAGCTACTGGTGGTTAATTACTATTGAATTTTAATATATGTTCCCACTAACATTTTACAAACGCGTTTCTGAAGTAGTATTGACCAATCAGAGGGCAATTTTAATACTTGCAATTGTTGCGAGACTCACTTTTGTTGCATCTGCTGTCTGTTGTAATACATTCTGAACTTAAACTGAGTACCCGTTTTCTATTTGCTTCTTTTCGAGTTGGAAAAAGGTTAATATAGTCAAAATTATTAGCTGTGTTTGTTCGTTGTATTACTTTCGAAAATAACTTTGACAAACTAATTGATGGCAGTGACGGATTCTATTTCAGGTAAGAATATTATGAACAATAATTAGACAGCAATTTTTTTGTCAATTTTACTATCACCGCTGTTTGAGATGTATTCAACAAGAATAGAGAAAAATCACGTGACTTTAAAAAGGTATTTGTTGGACTATAGAAACCATCAACACAATAAAGGATCTAGGTGTCATCTTTGATAAAACACCTTTCAATAATCACATCGACCATATTACCACCAAAGCATTTTGACTATTAAGCTTCATAAACAGGAACCCAAAGACATTGATGACGTGAAAGCGATAAAATGCCTGTACAACTGTCTGGTCAGATCCTTGCTAGAATATTGCAGCATTGTTTGGAGCCCAAGCTACAATATCCATGTCAACCGCATTGAAAGGGTCCAAAGTAAATTTGCAAAATATTTACTCTTCAAATTAATCTTTCCATATAGACAATTGGACTATTACACTAGATTTGCACTAAACACAATTTTTTTCAGGGTGGTTTCGCAAGATGCTACGAAATAATCAACACAAAAAACATGGTACCCTACGCAGGGAAAATCGTTTCGAAAAAACTAATGGCCAAACAAAACCAAAAGGAGAAGATGTTACAAGAAGTACAAATACACTCTACATTGCACCACAAAAACGTGGTGGGCTTCCACAGTTTCTTCGAGGACGACCTAAACATTTACATAGTCCTCGAGCTGTGCAAACGTAGATCCATGATGGAGTTGCATAAGAGGCGAAAGACTTTAACCGAACCGGAAACCCGTTTTTATATGGCCCAAATCGTCGAAGGAGTCCAATATTTGCACAAACACCGGATAATACACAGAGATTTGAAGTTGGGCAATTTGTTTTTGAACGACGTATTGCAGGTGAAAATCGGCGATTTCGGCCTGGCCGCCAGGATCGAATTCGAAGGGGAGCGAAAAAAAACGCTGTGCGGCACCCCCAACTATATCGCCCCCGAAATTTTGAACAAAAAAGGCCACTCGTTCGAAGTGGACATTTGGTCGGTGGGATGCATCATGTACACGTTGCTGATCGGCAAACCACCGTTCGAAACTTCCTCCTTGAAGGAGACCTATGCCAGAATCAGAAGGTGCGACTACAAAATCAGCCAGCAAGTTTCCCCGTATGCCAAAAACATGATTATGATTATGCTGCAGTCTGATCCTTCGAAACGGCCTAGTATCAACTATTTGAGCAAACACGAATTTTTCACCAAAGGTTATTGTCCGCCGTCTTTGCCGGTGAGCTGTTTGACCATGGCTCCTAGATTTGATGCTGAACGTTCTGTTAACATGGCCAACAGTCCACGAAGGGGCGCACTTTTGGAAATTCCTGGTAAGAATTGACTTCTTTTTATATTAACACTTGATTGATGGCATGAATATAATTTTTCTTTGGACAATGCTATATCAGCTAGATTTATATATTAGGGTGGGAGATTCTCACCTTTTGGCTTTGGGGTTTGACAACAACAAAAAAACAGTTTAATGGGTGTCAGTTGATCACATCTTCATTGAAAAGAATCATCCAATTCCTGATCCAAACAGACCAAAAGACAATCCCAGATTTCTAATTTGATGTAATTTAAGTTGTGGGTCATTGCTAACTAAGAATTAAACTATACCATTTCCAGCATTATTTCACACTGGTGAAATTTGATTTCAAATTAATGAAAACTAAATTCACATCAGTGAAATCTAATTTCGCTGAAATGAAAATTGATTTCAAAGTAACGAAAACTAATTTCTCACAAACGAAATTTGATTTCACATTTTTGAAAATTAATTTCAAACTGACTTTAATTAATACTCATTTTTCAAACATTTATTATTTCAATTTGAAAAAAACATCAACAACGTTATTTATTTTTATGAGGAATGAAAATAATGTTCAGCTTTCTTGGACTGATTTATTAAATTTAAATATCAAATAGCCAACGTTTCGATACTGGTTCGCATCGTAATCAGGGCCAGATTATTCTAATTAAAACTAAAAAACATTGTATAACCTTAGATTTTGGCGGCAATGATGGTAGTCCATAATATAAACATTTTTAACGTTTTGCATTTTATACAATGTTTTTGAGTTTTAATTAGAATAATCTGGCCCTGATGATGATGCTAATAACCAGCATCGAAACGTTGGCTATTTGATTTTTAAATTTAATTAATCAGTCCAAGAAAGCTGAACATTATTTCCATTCCTCATAGAAATAAATAACGTTGTCTTCAGTTTGGCAAATCACGTGAAAAGGTATAATGCGGCTATCTCAAGAGTGAGAAGACTCAACTTAAGTTCAATAATAATTTATAATTATTATTGTTGTAATTATTATTGTTGTTTCATGATTGTATTTTATGTTATGTGAACTCAGTGGGTTTATTTCATTAGGGTGAAATAAATAACATTTGTTGATGTGTTTTCAAATTAAAATAATAAATGTTTGAAAAATGAGTATTAATTAAAGTCAGTTTGAAATTAATTTTCAAAAATGTGAAATCAAATTTCGTTTGTGAGAAATTAGTTTTCGTTACTTTGAAATCAATTTTCATTTAAGCGAAATTAGATTTCACTGATGTGAATTTAGTTTTCATTAATTTGAAATCAAATTTCACTAGTGTGAAATAATTCTGGAAATGGTATAGACTATGAAAATTATAAAGTTAACATGTGCTATCTTAGAATGTAAGCATTTATACCTCAACAAATACTGAAACTTTTAGAGGTATTGGAGTCAGTGGATCTGGCAGCACTGTTCGTATTTTCCTGCTATCGCGTCCTCACCTGTGAGCTGTTTTGTTTTGTTTTTTTCTATTTGGTTTATTAATTTTTCACTTTTTTGGTTACTAACCATGTTTGATGTTAATAAATTTATTAATGTTAAACTGTATCTGTTTGAAATTATGGCTCAACTCAAAGGTGAACTGAAACTACTACCAAGTATTGATATTAATAAAGAAGTTAGACATGCCGGTAAGGCCCGTTTCATGTTTCAATAAATATTAGAATCCAACTAACTTTCAATTATAAGAATTGAATTGAATTTCTAAAAGCCTGTTTTACTTTTTCAGATAATAATCATACAAGTTTAATTAGTCTCAAAACTAAATCACAACTGACTGCCTTACTATCAACTCGCCTTATACTTTTACCACTAATTGATTCCTGGTGCACTGAGGTCTAATTTACTTGAATTTTTCTCTGTGTGATCGACTCCAGTTTATACCGCGTCCTTGCTTCTAGAATTCTCTAGATAATTCGCTTCCGTTTGTCTAGTCTTCAAACAGTGTTGCAAGATTGTACACAATTTCCCCAATATCTCTTCACGCATTGGAGTTTTAAAAGTTTGTTGGTGGTGGAGACGACTTTCTTGTGGATTTATTAAAAACATTATCTTCAAACTAAAAATCTCCTTGTTAAGTTCACTTTTTTTTTCAGATGCCAACTGCATGCAACTAGGTTCTCCCAGATGTCCCACCACGAGGCATGATTCCTTTGCAGCCGGCTTAGCCGGAACCCATTTCGGTTTTGATGCCCAAGAAAGCTTGACTACCCTGAAGCATTTGCTACTTAAGGTAAGTTTTTTGCATTCATTCACATACCAGTCCAGTTTGAACTGGATCAATTTTGATAGTTTTTCTATGAAGTTTATAATAAGGTTTACTTTACAAGTCAGATAGAAATCCTACTGTGGAATTCCAGGGTTGGCAAAAATCCGGCTAATTGTATTATAGTGGATTGAGAATTGGATTTTTGAAGTTTTTGGTGGATATTTGTGTTTTTGATATATTATACCTATTTTTATGTTTGAAACTTATCGTTTTTGAACAGATGAGATGACTACAGAGGTATCAGAGAGCGCTTAAGAAACTTTGAAAGATTTCTGATAACCTTTAGAACATTCCAGCGTTTCAAAACTAAGGAGCCAATTAAAAACTTTGGAAAGCATTTTGAAACGCTCTAGAGCTTAGACAGTTTAAAAATCGTCACATGACACTTTAGAACTAACTTAGGTAAAACTTCCATGAACATATCTCTAAAACACTTTCGAACTTATTTAGGATTTCAATTAGAACTGTCAAAAAGCACTTAGGAATATTTGGGATATTTCAAATAACTTAACTATAACATTCCGGCGCTTCAAGAGCATTAAGCAACCAATTGAAAACTTTACAAAGCATTCTGGACAGTTCAGAATGCACTTGTGCCAATTTGAAACTTTTTTAACCATTTTGAGACTCTCTAGGGCACTTTACAATAAATTCAAAACTTTCAACTTTGATAAGCTTATGCCGATGATGGATCTTTGATAGATCCGAAACATGTTCAACCCCCCTTTTACCTGATATTTTTATAAAATAAAGAGTGATGATAGACTCTGTGTTTTACTTCAGTTCTTTAGTTCAATATTTGATTAGTTGAAGGCTATTCGTGAACATATGCACTTAAATCACAAAATGGAACACTGAACCACAGCGAACATGTACACAATTATTCTTGAGATTTTAATGAAAATGCCCAAAAAGATGTTAAACGAGGGGTTGGAAGTTATAGAAATTCACAAGTATTTCCGTGTATTTCCAAATTATTCCCATGTACTTCCAGAGTACTCCCATGTACAGGGTGAGTCACTATATCTTGACACCCACCTGCAGCCATAATTATTGCAGGTGATAGGTGAACTATGTAAATACAAAAATTGTAGCAATTTAACTGAACCACCAGAATTTTTAATTAGATTTAAAAAATAAGCAACACAAAATGAAAAAAATATATCAATATTCACCTGTTTCAAATGGAATGCACTTTATTTTCTTTCAAATTCTTAAAGTTCTTGTTTTTCTGATTCAGATTATATAATATACCTATTAATGTTTCCTTCAATAGTTTTGAAAATATCTGGAGTTTAGTTATTCAAACTTTAGAATCAAATTAGATTTTAAAAATGCATCAGTTAAAGTCTGTTTTTTTTTAAGATAAAAGTCAAAATGACATTATGTTGGCAATACAATGTAAAATTGTCAAGCTTTCAATTTTTTTTATGTAGAAAAGGCTTGTGTTGCCAACATAGTTACTAAATTTTTGACTTGGGGAATTATCTTTAAAAAAAAAACACACTTTACTAATTTTTGGTATCCGTTTAAGCTGGATTTATAGTGTCAGTATCAGTAACAGTAGCAGTAACAGTAAAATATTAAAACACGGCCGACCGTAAAACCATTTATAGTTCACTTAACAAACTTATCAGTAAAACTTAAGAAATGGATATTTTCATATCTGTTCTTAAGTTTTAAGTAACTGTTACTGTTACTGCTACTGACACTATAAATTCAGCTTTTAGTGGTGATTGACAATCCAAAACTGCTGACCAATTTAATTCCTTGCATATATATATCCGAAAAGTTTTTATAATTGTTACTGCTAAGTAGTCTACCAACTTTATACCGGGTGGGGCACGAAAAACTTTCCACCCAGATTTTCTCAGCTGTTAGGTGTTTAATCAAAAATCGCTCAGACACGTCAATTTTTGTTTTTTGGGGGACACATTTTATTGTTATTTTCACCCCCTACCTGTGAACCCTTAAGTGGGGGTGACAGGTACCCACAAAATTTCAAATGAAAAGGGGGGGTCGAGTGATACTTCATTTGATAGCTATTTTCATTAAGATTATATCCCCGAAGTTTCAAGTTGCTACTATTTACGCTCTCGAAATGGCGGCTTGTCAAAGTTAGGAAAAATCAATGGAAAAATGCTATGTGGTTTTTACCTGTTACCTACGCATAGGTGTGACAGGTAAAAACTATACAGCTTAGATTATCGAATGTAATACCACAAGAGGCTTTAGGATTACCGGATAATACTTTTACCTGCCACGAAACGCGTTACGCAACAACACCACGACTCCGAAGGAGGAGTGGTGTTGCTGGTAACGCGTTGAGTGTCAGGTAAAAGTATTGGGTAATCCTGAAACATCGAGTGGTATTCAAAAGATTATACAACGAACTAAACTTTAATACTTTAAAATTTAAAAAAAAATCTATAATAGAATTTGCCATAAATGCCACCAAGCACGATAATCCCAAAAGGCTTATCACTTATTAAGCCTCTCGTGTCATATGGGGATAATGTACAGTGAGTTGTATAATCGAAAAAAAGCATTTATCCTAACTTTGACATGCCGCCATTTCGGCAGGGTTAATAGTAGCAACTTAAAACTTCGGAGATATAATCTCAATGAAAATAGCTACCCAATGACATATCACTCGACCCCTGTTTCCATTTGAAATTTTGGGGGTACCTGTTACCCCCACTTAGGGGTTCACAGGTAGGGGGTGAAAATACCAATAAAATGTGTCCCCCAAAAAACAAAAATTGACGTGTCTGAGCGATTTTTGATTAAACACCTAACACCTGAGCAAACCTGGGTGGAAAGTTTTTCGTGCCCCACCCGGTATTTTGGTGGTTTATTTATCGCAAGTTGAAATTTTGCTAAAACTGTCTCGTGATCCGAAAGGCCTACAGGAATGATACTACAGAGAACAAACATTTGCTTTTAGATAAAATTTGAACATAGATAATCGATTTTGGTTTGAGAATGAGCAGTTATTCTAGTAAGTTCATTAACATACATCTCTATAGTCTGGCTAACCAAACGGCGAACTTAAAAAGAATTTGCTGCTATGCCAAACTTGACAGAAACAATAATAAACAAGTTGGTGACATATTTTTTTTGCAATATGGGCCGTGTAGCATTTTGAAATAGGAAAAAATCCGGAAACATTACGAAATGAAGGAAGGAGAGGCGTGATTATTCAGAGGCATGATTCTATTGGTTAGAGCCTGAACGACAGCACCAGTGGCGTGGTTATTCGTGAAACTCAAGAATTTTTTTCCTAATAATTTTTTGGTTTATTTCCTTGGTGTTTTCAGTGCCACTGAACCCAAAGACATGGGTGTCATCAAGCGGTGTCAGTTGAGGTGTCAGTGAATATTCTTAGGTAACGCCCCACTTTTCATCCCCCTTTCGTCTCTACCAAGTTACCACTTGCCAAACTATAGGTCAAATGATAGAAACAAGTTAGACAGAATTTGTTTTGCCTCTTATCTGTCATCATCAAAAGTTATATTAAAGTCTCCCCCCAGTATAAAACCTGCATTGGGGGCAGATATGATAAAAGAATTTTAATTTTCGAAGTATTGCTTCAAGTTTGAATGATACGGGGGCCTGTATATACAGTGCGGCCGTAAAGTAAGGAATAAATTCAATAATTATTCTGCTAAGCAATTTTTCAAAAATCCTCGAACACGTCAATTTTATTTTTTCTGGAGCATTTTTTAAAAAATAAAATTATTATTCAGGGTGGTCGCAGAAAAGCTGGACAAGTAGTAACTTAATTTTTTTAAATAGACACCCCTAATTTTTTTTACCTTTTCGGATTTCTGATAAAATTCTGTGTATTTTTTATGAAACATGTCCTATACCTAAATTCAACTGTTTCGGAAATATTGACAGTTGATAATTAACTTTTTTGCAACTTTAAGAGGCTGTAAAATCTAAACGGTAAATTTTAGAGGAAAACCGATTTTACATTCCTATCTTAGATTTTCATAAGCTCTCATTTGACACCAACTTTGAATTCAATCCGAGATTAAATTTAATTGGAATTTTTAATCATGGATTAAATTCAAGGTTGGTGTCAAATGATAGCTTACGAAAATCTAAGACAGGAATGTAAAATCGGTTTTCCTCTAAAATTAATCGTTGAGGTTTTACAGCCTCTCAAAGTTGCAAAAAAGTCAATTGTCAACTGTCAATATTTCCGAAACAGTTGAATTTAGGTATAGGACATCTTTCATAAAAAATACTTAGAATTTTATCAGAAATCCGAAAATGTAAAAAAAATTAGGGGTGTCTATTTAAAAAAATTAAGTTACTACCTGTCCAGCTTTTCTGCGACCACCCTGTATAATAATTTTATTTTTTAAAAAATGCTCGACAAAAAATAACATTGACGTGTTCGAGGATTTTTGAAAAAATTGCTTAGAAGAATAATTATTGAATTTATTCCTTACTTTACGACCGCACTGCACACAAAATGTATAAATTATTCTTTTTGTTATATGTATAACAAGGAAAATTCAAAAACATTTTCAATTAACAGGGTATTAATCTCGGTATTAAACTTTGTTATGGGGGTAACATCAAAAGATTGTAAAAATGTCTTATTGACAAGAATAGCAGTTCCACCATGAGTTTTACTATTTCTACAATAGAGAGACACCAGAGTATAATTTTTGATACAAAATGGTTAATTTTCTGCTAACCAATGCTCAGTTTTAAGTAAGAGAGTTGGAAAGTTGTTATCTTCTAACAGCAGATATCAGTCATCAAGTTTGTTCCTTAGCGATTGTATATTAATTAAAAATATGGAGATGGCGGCCTTAATATTTTTTATGTTTTGTGCCGCGCTTGAGCAGTTTGTGGAAAAGGTTGCTCTAAAAAATTTACCTCTGAAAAATTATTAACTTTTAAAGAAGTCGTCATTAATTCTAAAGATATCATCATCTATTGGGACATATTTAAGATTTGTTATGCTTTGTACATTAAAGTTTTGAACACACTGTTTTATCAATTTTCCAATCTTAAACAATCCGTACTTATTTAAATAAATGTTAGAATTCATAGAAAAATCTCCATGACGAAATTTACCCGCTAAATCCAAAAAACCTATGTTAATAGAGAAAATTTTTAGTTTTCTGGCAACTTCTCTAAGTTTTTGTTTTATATTTCTAACATACAAACATTTCTTGGCATAGTTATTTTTATATGGGAGGTTGCATACTATTAAATTCGATGTAAAACACTTATTTGATAGCAGTATTATGTCATCTTTTCGGATATCAGTGTCGTTAAGTCCTGCTATTTTAAAACAACATAGTCCTTATCAGTCAAATCCTCCACATTATGCATAATATCCCTTATTGTAGTACAAGGTTTTGTTACCAGCTGAGTTACATACATAGTTGTGATTTGTCTATAGCATCATATAACATTTTTCCAAAGACATCAGTTAAAATAACAATTTTATTCTTAGAATTTTTAACCTTTCTTAAATTAACAAGCGAATTCATAGCAGTTATGTCAGCAATCCATCTGATTGACTTTTTTGATCATCCTTTTTCGAAACTTTACGCTGCTTAAACTGGAATAATTCTTCATTGATCTTTTTATTCTCACTGGCATATACATTATTATCATTTTCAAGTGTACTAATTGTTGTAAGCATTTGATTTCTCATTGACTTCAAATCATCTAGCTAGCTCTTTTACCAGTTTATCACTTTTTTATCTTCCTCCAATATTATTTGCTGCAAATTCTAGTTCCTCTGTATTAGTTCATCGATACTCCAGTGAATTTTCTGCAGAAAAAACATTGTCCTGAAAGTTTATAGTTTTCCTCTCGTTGAAGTATATCATCTTTCGCAATAATAACTTTGTTTAATTCAGTAATCCGAGTTTTTAGTTTTGCGACAGAATCTTCATGTTCATTCTTTCATTTAGCCTTTTGTTTTCCTAAATAACTTCTCCAATTTTTCTTCATTAAAACACATATTTCTAAATTCATCTACAAGATTGATATTAAAACAATAAGATTCTTTCACTGAATAATTCATTTTCAGCTGGACAGGCCTTATGCACGAAACTTTTGAAACGTTTCGAACAAAACCTCTCAATTTTTATTCTTTAAAGTTTCTGTAAACGCAACGTAAACAAACACAAAACTTGCATTGAACTTCAACTTCAAAGAACTGGATCAATGGCAAGGTAATTAGGCCAAGTTTATAAAAATACACGCACAACGAAAACGAACATGATGTGATGCAAAACAAAAGCTTCAAGAGCATCAAGCCACCAATTGAAAATTTAACAAAGAATTTTGAAAAGCTTTTCAGAATGTGCTTGTGCCAATTTGAAACAATGTAAAACTGAAAAATTCCAGAATATCTTGAAAACTGTTTATTATTAGAACACGTTCAGATGTTAGAATTTCAATTAGAAGTATCACAGAACACTTAGTGATAACTTCTAGAACATTAGTTATGGGTTTCAGAATTTTAAATTTTTCTCTCTATAAAAGAATTAGTTTAGTTCCCAACCCTGTGGAATTATCAAAAACCAAGATTGCGAATATTTTGCATTAACTTAATTAATAAATCTTTTCTTACACAGAAAATCAGAGTCATGCCATATTGACATGTTCTTTGGCCTCATTTAAGGGGACAAATTTAAATTTATGGTAATTTCTAAATCAAGTAAATATAAGTAAACTTTTTTTGGAAGATTTTATTTGTGACACTGTATATTTCAGATTACACTGTTGGTATTTAATAATAATGGTGTTAAAATATAAAACTATTTGCTATAAAACTAGCATTATATAATTATGTGGTGTGTATATAATGTATAGTAGTATTGTTACGACATTTTGATCGGTAATGTAATTGAGTATATAAAAAAAATAATGATGAGTTCAAAAGCAAAAATAGAATAATTTAGGTATTTTATACATGGCAGTTTGTTCTTGTTCTGTATACAGTACAGGTTGGTATCGTAATTATTTATTTACTAACTAAATAACTAAATCTCTATTCGAAAATAATTGTATATAAACTAAATCTTCTATAATAGTCCCTCTCAAAACACTTTATTAAATTTATTATTTTTCATTTAACTTACTTCAAATTCAATAATTATGTTTCACTATAGTTTTACATGTCCCAACCTAAATAACCATTAATTAATATCGATTGGAATTTGTTGATTTTGCTTTTCTCTTAGAGCTACTTTCACATACAAGTTTGCTCGAGAATTTGTTTTTTTAAATTAACCAGATAAACACTAGAAAAAATAATGTTCAAAGGATTCTGAAATGCCAAAATGCAAAACAAGGTCATAAGAAAAGTGAACAATTCTTTGTTTGTGCAAAGTAGCTCCGAGTTAGTTTGCTCTAAAAAACTTTTTATAAACTTTATTCAATTTCCAGAACATATAACAGTATAAAGAATTAAAAAAGAAACCTTATATCTACCTAAAAAAAAAGACAGTCTACATAAAAAAAAATCAGAATTTTTCTTTAAGCTATACCTACTTACTACAATACAAAAATATAGCCCAAAAAATTAAAAAACATTAAATTTATACTTACAATAATAACTAAAATAAACATTAAATATTCTTACCACTTAACCTGAGACGCCCAAATATGAACAGTCGACACAAACTTGCTACAAATGGAAAGCGTATTAAAATACATTTTCTGACAAACAGTGAGGTTTTTTCCTTGAAGCGGCAAAGTGTAAATTCTGCTAAAGTTCCTCTTTGTCAGCTTACCAGGCGGCGTCGACCTGTTTTTAATTGGAAATTCTTTCACCGTGTTCATGACAAACTGTTTGCGTCCCTGCCAGTCCATGTTGATCCAAAAGTTGGAATGCAAATTTGTCCTCTCTTCTTCAGTTATTTTGCCACTGCAATGGTGCCTGCAAGAGTCAGGGCACGGGGGCCCCATTTTTTTGTTCGTTCTCGTTTTTCTCTCGGGTTTAACTATTTCTTCTACTTTTATTTGTTCGCCACTTTTAGGTTCCAGTGTTTTATTATTTCTATTTTTCATTACGTATTTTCTACGGGGTTGAGTATTTTGCGTTTCCATTTGTTCGTCGTCTTCTCGAATACTTCCATCCTGATTTATATTATTGATTGTACTCAAAATAAAGTCTTCTGATACTGTTAGAGTTTGCAAATACATTTCTTTGCACACTGTTACACAATCATAATGAAATGGTAAGGTGTATGATTTGATTTGATTTACTTTTTCTTTTGTGATTTTGTTTTTTTCAAGTTGCACTTGCAAGGTGGATAAAATGAAGTGTTTTTGATCGACTTGAGCTGGTAAATTCCAGAACTCCTTGTGAATTTGTTCGCGGATGTCTTCAGTTAGTTTCAGTTTACATTGTAGGACACAAGCACATGGGGGTTTTAATGGGGTAAATTCTAGTTTTCTGCGTTTTATTGGCGGCGGCGTGGCTGTAATGGTGCATTCTTTGGTTAAATCTTTGGATTTTTGTATTATGGTTATGTTATTGTGTTTTTGAAGCTGGGCTAAATCTGGATAATCAGTCGTTGGCTTTTTCTTTATTACTTTTGCTATTGTTTCTGTTTTTGGTATTAACAGATCTAGGGTTTTGTCTGATAAGGCCAATGTGTTCATATACATGTCCTGCAAAGGAAATGTAACTATAGATTTTTGAATTATGGTTAAAATAAAATTATTCTTACCTGACAAACAGTTACTTGTCCATCGTCCTTCATTGGTAACACAAAAGTTCTAACAGAAGTGTATCTATCTCTTTCGACTGTGTTTATAATAAACAATTTCCTCTCTTCCCATGATTGTAAGTTTGTCCAAAAATGTTCATATAACTTCAGCCTATTTTCTTCTGATATTTTTACTGTACATTGTTCTTGACAATTATTACAAGCAGGCTTAATGTCTTCTTTGTTTTGTATATCCAGCAGTTGGCCTTCCAAAGGAAGATCCTCAAATTTGACAATTTGATTCACTTTTTCCTCTTTCACTTCTTGCAAATGCCTATTTGCTTTGCTAGAGTTATCCAAGCTTTTTGTAACGATGCTTGGACAATTGACCAGTTTCATTGTGCTCTCTTCTAGCACATTATCTGGGTACTTTTGCAAAGTTGTTTCTATAAACTTGGCACTGATTGCCAGCGTGTTGAAAAACATTGTTTTGCACACCAGAGTGAAACCGTCTTCCATTTCTAGATAGTATTTGCGCAGGAATTTTTTCCTGGTTTTGTTTTTGGGATGGGGCACACGTAATACTTGTATTAGGCGTCTCACATGTGATCTTCTTTCTTCCCACGTTTTCAGTTTGCCCCAGAAAACTAAGTAATTATCTTGACGGAATCTAAACATTTATGAAAATTTGTATTATTTTTAAAGTAGTAAATAAAACTGCTTACCTTTCTGCAATTCGGCGTTCGCATTCCATTTTGCATTCGAGGCACGGTTGTCCAATGACCCTCTGTTTAATTTTGTTTTGATACGAATATTCCCCATTTAATCTGTCTGGTTTTTTGCCTTCCTTATTCATTTGTATTATTCCTCTGCGTGTTTTTATATAGGAAACATCATCCTCGCTATCATCGTCCTCTTCTTCTTCGGCCTCTGAATTGTTCGATTCAGATTCTTCGCCACTGTCCATTTTTTCTTCAGAACAACTCTCCGGATTTTCATTCGTTTCGATCGTTTCCGATTCGCTACTCATTTTTCTCAGTTATATTATCGATTAACACTATTCAACGATCGATTTAATTGAATTTAATTATTTGCCGGATTATTATTTACCCTGTAAAAATCAATGTTTTGGCGATTTTCCTCCACAGTGGTGGTAAACAATAACAAGGTTAAAAAAAAATGGCTGTCACTTCGGAGGCCTTCCACCTCGAGGGCTTTTCGGATAATGTGCGCAGACGCGTGACGCTCGAAATGTTGGCAACCCTGAGAGTAGCGTTTTCGATCTTGCTCTAGATTCACTTTGTACAGTGCAATAATTTATGTTCCAATTCATTCCGCGTGCTCTGGAGCAAAATTTTTTGGGTTCAACTACCCGAGCAAAGATCGAGATTCGGATTTGTACGGAGCCAATTCAAATTTTAATTTGAATACCTGCGCCATCCTGGGGTGGAAGTGAAACTGCCACTATGCCTGCTTTATGTTCGACAAGAAACTGTCCAGAGCGAGTGCAGGTACTGGAATGAACAAATTTTTGTTGGGTTGTAGCGTTGATTGTTGTAGACAGTTCTGAGTTCTCGTTTCAAGCATACGCTCTGAATTTCACAATAATTTTATCGTTCCAAACGGGGTAAAATAAAATTTCAAACTGGTTCATAATCAAGCATATACGAATTTTGTGGTTCCAAACTGGTTCGAAATCGGTTCAGAAGGTGATTTGCGAGCTATGTCATAAACTATCCGAGCAGAGCAACAATTTGGATTCGGGTCGTTAACATAGCGCCACCAGTGTTCAGAATATGCCACTATGCCTGCTCTAAAGTCTTTTTTTTTAAAGATAATTCCCCAAGTCAAAAATTTAGTAACTATGTTGGCAACACAAGCCTTTTCTACATAAAAAAATTGAAAACATTGACAATTTTACACTGTATTGCCAACATAATGTCATTTTGACTTTTATCTTTAAAAAAAAAACACACTTTATGTTCTTCACGAAATGGTTCCGAGCGAGTGCAGCTAGTGGAGTAAACCATTTTTTGTTGGGTGTTTCGTTCTCTGTTCCGAATTCGATCGGTGTAAAATAAAATCCCAAACTGGTTCCTAATCAAACATACGCTCTGAATTTTGTGGTTCCAAACTAGTTCAAAATCGGTACAGTAGATGGTCCGCGAACGTTTTTGGAAAATATCTAGCACCATTCGCCCTTGCAGTTCGAATTATGTCATAACTATCCGAGCAAAGCAACAATTTGGATTCGGGTCGTTGACATAGCGCGACCAGTGTAACGAAACCGTGATTTTTCGTGGTTCAGAATCTGGCTCTATGCCTGCTCTATGCTCTACACGAAACTGTCCAGAGTGAGTGCAGGTAGTGAAATAAACAAATTTTTGTTGAGTGTTAGATAGCTCTGAGTTCTCAGGGTGAAATAAAATTTCAATCTGGTTCATAATCAAGCATACGTTCTGAACGTTGTGGTTCCAAACTGGTTCGAAATCGCTTCAGAAGGTGATCCGCGGGCGTTTTTGGAAAGTTTCCAGAACCATTCGCCCAGGGACCCGGACCGATATGATATATCGGTTCCGTTCCGGTTCTGGTCCTCAGCGTTATGACAAATATCGGTTCCGGTCCACAGGTTCATGACAAATATTGATTCCATTACGGTTCCGGTGCTAGAGAAATATTTCGATTTGGTTCGGACCAATAATTTCGATTTTAAGGGTTCATACCGGTATAGTTTTTCAAAAATATTAACGGAACAATTTGTTTCTGTAATTTTTGGTTTATTTTTTATTGGATTTCTCTGCCTATCTGCAACAACTTTAATAATAATCATTATAATTTCTCGATCAGTTAATTACAGTTTGTATGTTTTAACTTTGCCCGTGCGTCATCAATAACACCGCATGCATATTCTTATGAGGTTTACTGGTGGCCGTATTATGATACACGGAAAAGTTGAAAAATACGAACTATAAGTGGTATTTTACTGCCATTTGGATAGACTTTTAAATAAATATTAAATGATATTATTACAAAAATAAATAGAAATCTCAAGCCCCCACCACGCCAAAGTAGCAGTGATGACGTAGTCAGCGTGTCGTTACTCGCTTTGACGTAGGGTGTTCGCACCACAGGTTATGATTGCGCTGATTTTTGCTTTATGCATATTTGGTTTCATTATATTATTTATCATTCTAATGGCCGTTTGCAACGATCATTTCAAAGAAGGTTTAACGATAATCAACACCTAAATTGAAATTTGTAAAAATAACACCATAAAACATCCCTTGTTTAGATCTCGTTTGCAACTTCCTCTTTGCCTATTATGGTAATCAAAATTAACAATTTTTTTCATGATAAATGTATATTCTCAACTACGACTCCTGGCGCAAACCGCTAACGACTTTGTTGATGACGTCGGTAACGGTGCTATACGCTATGAATTTGATTTTAAAAATTGAGGCCGATGAGCAATCCTGTAGTAGTGTGTAATATCCTTGGTGTAGCCTACCCGAGTTCAGAAATGCGCGCTCTCTAACGCTCTGTTTTTTGTTTTGGAGTGTTACATTCATTACTATACGACGACGAACCAGCAAACAGCCTAATTTATGAAATCTTGAAACCGAAAAATACCGGTAAAAACCGATTAATTTATATCGGTTCCGGTCCAGCCTCGAGTCCAGCCTGCCTTACAACATTTCCATGAAATATGGGTTTCGTTCCGGTTCCGGTCCGCAAAAAAGAAACGGTCATAACTATCCGAGCAGAGCAACAATTTGGATTCGGGTCGTTGACGTAGCGCGACCAGTGTAACGAAACCGTGATTTTCCGTGTTTCAGAATCTGCCACTATGCCTGCTCTATGTTCTTCACGAAACTGCTCCGAGCGAGTGCAGGTAGTGGAATGAACCAATTTTTGTTGGGTTGTAGACAGTGCTGAGTTTTCGTTTTCTGTTCCAAATTTGATCGGTGTAAAATAAAATCCCGACCTGGTTCATAATCAAGCATTCGCTCTGAATTTTGTAGTTCCAAACTGGTTCAAAAGGTGGCCTGCGAACGTTTTTGGAAAGTATCCAAAACCATTCGCCTGCGCAGTTCGCATTATGTCATAACTATCCGAGCAGAGCAACAAATTGGATTCGGGTCGTTGACGTAGCGCGGCCAGTGTAACGAAACCGTGATTTTTCATGGTTCAGAATCTGCCACTATGCCTGCTCTATGTTCTTCACGAAACTGTTCTGAACGAGTGCAGGTAGTGGAATAAACCAATTTTTGTTGGGTTGTAGTAGATAGTTCTGAGTTTTCGTTTTCTGTTCCGAATTCGTTCGGGGTAAAATAAAATTTCAAACTGGTTCATAATCAAGCATACGCTCTGAATTTTGTGGTTCCAAACTGGTTCGAAATCGCTGCAGAAGATGATCCGCGGGCGTTTTGGGAAAGTTTCCAGAACCATTCGCCCGCGCAGTTCGCATTATGTCAAACTATCCAAGCAGAGCAACAATTTGGATTGGTCGTTGACATAGCGCGACCAGTGTAACGAAACCGTGATTTCTCGTGGTTCAGAATCTGTCACTATGCTTGCTCTATGTTCTTCACGAAACTGTTCAGAGCGAGTGCAGGTAGTGGAATAAACCAATTTTTGATGGGTTATAAAGTCTGTTTTTTTTTTAAAGATAATTCCCCAACTCAAAAATTTAGTAACTATGTTGGCAATACAAGCCTTTTCTACATAAAAAAATTGAAAGCATTGACAATTTTACATTGTATTGCCAACATAATGTCATTTTGACTTTTATCTTTAAAAAAAAAACAGATTTTAGATAGTTCTGAGTTTTCGTTTTCTGTTCCAAATTCGATCGGTGTAAAATGAAATCACGAACTGGTTCATAATCAAGCACACGCCGTGAATTTTGTGGTTCCTAACTGGTTCGAAATCGCTTCAGAAGGTGGTCCGTGAGCGTTTTTGGAAAGTATCCAGAACAATATCCGAGCAAAGCAACAATTTCGATTCGGGTCGTTGACATAGCGCGACCAGTGTAACGAAACCATGATTTTTCGTGGTTCAGATCTGCCACTATGCCTGTTCTATGCTCTACACGAAACTGTCCAGAGCGAGTGCAGGAAGTGAAATAAACAAATTTTTGTTGAGTGGTAGATAAAGTCTGTTTTTTTTTTAAAGATAATTCCCCAAGTCAAAAATTTAGTAACCATGTTAGTAACACAAGCCTTTTCTACATAAAAAATTTGAAAGCATTGACAATTTTGCATTGTATTGCCAACACAATGCCATTTTGACTTTTATCTTTTAAAAAAAACAGATTTTACTTCTGTAGTATCAGAGCCAGAGCTCTCGAAATTTTAATGAACGAACGCGAATGAGCCTGCACCGAGCACACTTTTCAAATGAACGGTAAATTCAAGCTCGGAGAACTCAGATCAAAATACCGAACGCACGGTTTGTTGGTGGAACAACCAAAATCGGTTCCGGATGGAGTATTAGTATTAGAACATTCCACCATTATTTTTTTTGCGCAAGAAGTGCTGCGCAATCCCAGAACCATTCCAAATTTCAAACCAAAACAAAGCTAGATGTTTTGCATTATTTAGAACTAAGGACAATTCTGAGATTGTTCCAGAACGGTTCTCTCAGTTTTTGCTCTGAAGGAGTAATTGATTTGGAATTTTGTGGCTTGTTTTGCTTTTTTTGGTTCCGAATAGGTTCAGAACTGATATTTTGTACGCAAGAAGTTCTGCGCCATCCCAGAACCATTTCAAATTTCAATCCAAAACAAAGCTTTTTAAAGTCTGTTTTTTTTTAAAGATAATTCCCCAAGTCAAAAATTTAGTAACTATGTTGGCAACACAAGCCTTTTCTACGTAAAAAACTTGAGAGCATTGACAATTTTACATTGTATTGGCAACATAATGTCATTTTGACTTTTATCTTTAATAAAAAAACAGATTTTAGATGTCCTGTATTATTTATAACTAAGAACAATTCTGAGATTGTTCCAGAACGGTTCTCTCAGTTCTTGCTCCAAAAGAGGAACTGTTTCGGAATTTTGTGATTTGCGGCTTGTTTTGGTTTTTTTGGTTCCGAATCGGTTCAGAACTAGTATTAGAAGAGTCCTGCATTATTTTGTTTGTGCGCAATCCCAGAACCATTCCAAATTTCAAACCAAAACAAAGCTAGATGTTTTGCATTATTTAGAACTAAGCATCAATTCTGGGATTGTTCCAGAACGGTTCTGTCAGTTCTTGCTCTGAAGGAGGGACTGTTTTGGTTTTTTTGGTTCCGAATCGGTTCAGAACTAGCATTAGAACAGTCCTCCATTATTTTTTGTTCGCAAGAAGTTCTGCGCAAACAAAGCTAGATGTTTTGCATTATTTAGATTAGAACTAAGAACAATTCTGGGATTGTTCCAGAACGGTTCTCTCAGTTCTTGCTCTAAAGGAGGAACTGTTTTGGAATTTGGTGATTTGCGGCTTGTTTTTTTTTTTTTTTTTTTGGTTCCGAATCGGTTCAGAACTAGTATTAGAACAGTCCTCAATGATTTCTTGTGCGCAATTCCAGAACGGATTTTGAACCGAACAAAGCTATTTATAAAGCCTGTTTTTTTTTTTTAAAGCTAAAAGTCAAAATGACATTCTGTTGGCAATACAATGTAAAATTGTCAATGCTTTCAAATTTTTTATGAAGAAAAAGGTTGTGTTGCCAACATAGTTACTAAATTTTTGACTTGGGGAATTATCTTAAAAAAAAACAGATTTTAAGTAGCGCTGATTCATGCTGCTGCCTCTAGCGGGTAAAACACAAACAAATTATCCTGTACACTTGGCCAAACATAAAACTGGTACAGGCAATACATATTTTTCAAATTTGCCTAGTGTGAGCCAGGCTTAACAACAAAAAGTCTGTCCTGAAAAACTTAGTTCAGATATTAGTTTTTGTCAACGTCAAACCTGAACAAAAGTAAATGCAACATGTTTTTATGTTATGATTGGTTTGAATATGACACTGACTTGACTCTTTTTGTCATTGTTGAGGTGATAAAAAAGGTCGATTTACACAATACAACACAATAGGAAAATGCGTATCAGTTTTATGTTTGGCCAAGTGTACATAAAGATTTTAAATCCGAAAGTCGTTCGGTGCTCTGTTGAGAATGAAACCGCCCCATGCTCTCCTTATAGAACACTGCAAGTGCACTATTAACTAATTTTCAAATGCGCCATTTGAATCGAGCGCCGATTATGCATGGATTCAGTAGTGCACTGTACCATGGTACTTTCAACATGCGAGCTGTGCTGTGTGTTCTAGTACAAGTAGAGTTAAATGCGGTATTTTCTTTCTCCTTTCTAGTTCAGCTCCGAATGAGTGAAAAAAAAAAACACTGTTCCAAGTTCCATAAACCAATTGAAAATATATTTTTTACCATTACACTACTTCAATAGTTATAACTTCGATATATTTTCATAATTCATAACACCGTCAGTCTTGAACCTTTCAATTTCATCACTTTCATATCCAATCTCACTCAAAATATCTACAGTGTGTTCGCCAATTTTGGGCCTTTTTAAAACCGACGTGGATTTCGCCGGCGTCCTATGCAAATTCGGGGCGGGCGTCGGACAATGCACTTCTTCGCTCTTCAGAAATATGTTCTGGCTGCGATTGTGCGCGTGCGAAGGAGCCTCGTCCAACTCCAAAACCGGAGCGACGCAGGCGTCCAATTCATCGAAAATCTGGCACCACTCCGATCTGGTTTTTTCCGAAAATTTCTTGGCGAATAATTTTTTGTTTTGCTCGTAGTCGAATTGCGGCGCGTCTGATGCCGATATTTTCAAACCGCGCAACAGTTCTTGATAGAATTGCGGTTCTAGGGCACCAACAGAAATGTACTTATTGTCTTTGGTTTTGTAAACTTCGTAAAATGGGGCTCCTGAATCTAGAACGTTTTCGCCGCGCTCGTTGCCCCAAACAGGCAAAGTTTGCGATCTGTATAGGAAGCTGCCTAAATAGGACACTCCGTGCACCATGTTAGCTTCAACTATTTGGCCTCTTCCAGATTTTTCCCTTTCAAACAGAGCCATTAGTATACCTAGTGCGCATATGAGTCCACCTCCACCAAAATCCGCCGCTAGATTAACTGGAAATATCGGATTTTCGTTTTTCCTTCCAAATAACGATAACAATCCGCTAAGGGCTAAGTAGTTGATGTCGTGGCCTGCTAATTTCGCGTAGGGTCCCGATTGGCCGTAACCGGTCAGTCGGGCGTATATTAATCGTGGATTATCTTTCATGAGGATTTCAGGGCCTAAACCTAATTTTTCCATGACGCCTGCTCTGAACGGTTCAATGGAGACGTCCGAGTGTTTGATTAAGTTTCTTACGATGTTGATGGCTTCTGGGGATTTTAAGTTTAGGCTTAGGGATCGTTTACCGTTGCTTAAAACATCCAAATCGGCGTTACCCGTTAACTGAAAGAAAAAATATATTAGGAATAAGGACCGGTTTATTAGTGGACGGGTATTTAGTTTAGCTGTTGGGTCACAAATATTTTATTATTATTGGTTAACCGATACTGCATAACTGTCCACTGATAAACCGGTCATAAGTTTTAGCTATAGGTTAACTGAACGCCCGGATCCCGAACCCACGATTCGATAGTATCGTCTATCTATTTCATATCGACGATACTCCTGGTATTCTTTCGATCTGAACAAACTGGTTGGCGTCAAAAAAATAGCAGGGGGCCAATGAAATCGTTGTAACCGGATGAAAATTGTTTGAAACAAAACTCAAGTGACTTGGATCAGTTTGTTCAGATCGAAAGAATACTTCTACTATCGGTTCGGAATCCGGGCCCTGTTGTATTCTAGAACTTGAAACGGTACATGCCCCTAATCCAAATATTACTACTAGATCAAAACCAGATGGCGCTTATTGTTTAATAACAAAACATTTTAATTTTTTTTAACCTTATCAATCCTGATGACGGACGCACCGAAATCTGCCAAAACCATGCCACAAAACGGTGCTGGAGCTAATCCAGCAAATTCCACTACACGAATACCTTTTAATGCCATTTTATTTCAATTTACTGTTACTATAAATTAATACAAAAAAATGCAAACGTTTGTACTTTTGATCTTAAGCATGATCATGCGATGATCATGCGCGACAAACTAGATTGTACTATGTACTAGCAGCGGACGGTCAAGGTTGTGCTAAAGAAAATATTTGTACTATAGTCTATTTGATTGCAGTTTTGATATCGGGTCTTAAAAAAAAAAAACAATCGAAGATTGCTTTGATTATGAAAACGTACCATCGTCACCAAAAGTATCTGGGACACAAATAATGCATAATAATCTCCTGGACTTATTCTGCTGTCATTCATTTCAATGCATTTAATTCTCATTTAATTCATAGTTTGACAAATATTTGACAATAAAATTCATATAATAGGACAAGAGCTAATATGATGCTGTCCCAGTTACTTTTGGTGACGATGGTACATCGCATTATTGTTTCTTTATTGGACATGATAGTTTGACATTAAAGTTCATTGACAAAATTAAAGAAAAATATTGCAGACATACGTTTAAAAAACCATAGGTAGCAATCTTTGATTGGTTTGTTTTTTTGAAGACCTGATACCTTAAATCGAGGTTTAGGACCATTAAGTCATTGTAAACCCTATGATTTACAATGGTTCCTATAAATTCGGTCATTTCTAAAAAACTATACAAGCTACAAATATGAAATTTTGTGATACTATTTTTACTTTAAATTCCAATTAATGGCATGCAATATTAAAAGTTGAGTTGTAGTACCTTGACCGTTATAATTCTGTTCCATCTGAGATAACTCGATTTAAATTACTCTAAGCATTCCATCTGCATTAATTTCTATTCCAATTTCTGTTCCATCTGCATTAATTCTGTTCTGTTTGCAATGTTAGTAATGACGTAATTGTAATGATCCCATTTCACAAAAAATATCATACATCTTTCAGGTACCTCTTTAATTGCCCAAGGGTCAAAACAAATATGTCTATATTTAGATCGTTTATCAAAGACATATCTAACCAAAGGATTATTTTTACCATATGTTGTTTTATGAAATGGAATCAGAAATGTTGGCATCGCAGCCCCTTAGAAGGAACATTAAAACTAATTAATTCCAAAACCATGGACCAGTTTGTGAACAAAGGGTATGCCAAATACATCTCTCCTATTACACAAAGGAGGCACAGCCAAATGAGCTGCATCAAGTTAGCCCCGCACATTCGAATTTTCTAAAAAAATTGCAACCACTTACTGTGCTCGAAGTGTGCTTTACTGTGCCGATGATATTTAGAACTGTGCGGTTTTGATAACAAAGTTATAGGAAAAAATAGATGAGGGGCTAACTTGACGCTCAGCCACCCCAAAGTTTTGGAAATCGGATGAAACCAAAAAGGATTCTTATCCAATTTGAAGTGTGCTGAACTGTGCTGTATGTTTCTGAAAATTTCCATATTTGGTCATTTTCCGACAAAATCCTACTGGGGAGCTAACCGAGGGGCTAACTTGACGCTCAGCTCCCCCAAAATTTCGAAAATCAGTTTGAAAAAAATTGAATTCTTATCCAATCTGAAGTGTGCTGAACTGTGCTGTATCAGCTTTTTCTCAAAATTTTCTACTGGGGGGCTAACTTGACGCTCAGCCCCCCCAAAATTTTGGAAATCAAATTAAACAAAATTGAATTCTTATCCAATCTGAAGTGTGCTGAACTGTGCTGTATCAGGTTTTTCTCAAAATTTCCATATTCGGTAATTTTCCGACAAAAAACTAAGAGGGGGCTAAGTTGATGCCAAATTTTGGAAATCAGATCAAAGAAAAACGGACTCTTATTCCTATTAAATCTGAAGTGTGCTGAATTGTGCCTGATCAGGTCCGGTATTCTAGTTCTCCAAAACGCTCACCACTTTTAAGTCGCTCGGCACTTTTGATGATAATTTACATTAGAAGTGCCGAGCGACTAAAAAGCGGTGAGAATACCGCGCCCTGAGCTGATCATCAAAAATCAGGTCAAAATATTTGGTCGCAATGCTTCTGCCTACAATAGTATTATCCAGAAAAACATTACAAAGATTACATTTGAAATTCATGATGCGACTGACGCAGTCAAAAGCTTTTGTCAAGTCACAGAACACTGCTGTAGCCTTCTCACCATCATTAAGTCTGAGGTATACCTGTTCCAGGACATTGAAAATGGCATCGCTCGTATTTTTCAACGATTGGAATCAATCAGTTTGGATTCCAAGACAATAGTCCATTCTGGTTGATTCTGATCTAAGAAAACCACCATCCGCTCCTTAATGAGCTTTTCAATTATCTTGCTTAGTGTAGGCAACAATGATATTGGTCGGTAGTTAGAGGGTAATTCCTTCTCTCTTCCCTTAAAAATGGGAATCACCCTGGCCTTTTTTTAAAAAAGGTTGGGAAATTACCTGCTTCCACTGAATCATTTATGGAGTTTGCCAAAACATTTAGGACAGGGTCCGGAAGGGCAAGAAAGATCTTAATAGAAATATTATCCCAACCGGATGAGGTTGGGATAATATTTGATACCCAATCAAGGTTTGATACCCAAAATTTTTTATTAAAAATTCTTCTACCGTAACTGGGTTGAAATAGAAAGAGTTAGGAATCAAAAAACTTCTCGAGGACAATGATAAAGGATCAGGGACTGTTTGTTCAGGGATGTTGCCCCACAGGGTCCTTAATTATTCTTGAGACTGGGGAGCAGCGTTCCCAGGAGAACGAGTATTCCGTCTTTGTTAGTTATATTATCAGTTGCATATCATTGAGAAAGACGGAACACTCGTTCTCCTGGAAACGCCGCTCCCCTGTTTCAAGAATAAGGGCCGTGTCTTGTAATATTGCAGTAGTATGAGTTGAAGGTGTTTACATCAATTTCAGCCGAACCATCCTGCTTGGATTCTTTTCCCCTCAAGTCATTTACTATACTCCATATCTCCCCCTGACTATTATCCTATTATTAGCAGAAGATATTCTTCTGTTGTAGAGTTGAGAAGCAAGTTTTTTACGGGCTTGCGTCATATTCTTATTCAGGGGCCAGTTCAGAATTAATCGTTCCTTCTTTTATTGTAACGTGTAATTCGACAAAGAGCAAACTAATACTTTACGTATTACTTCTGAACTCACCGCAGTGTTGTTTAAAATTATGTCAAATTATACTTGACATATTCCTCTAGAGTTTCATTGTGCGATTAAGCCGGATGAAACATTTATCAAAATAAAAGTGCAAACGATGTTAACATACACTTTAAAGCTCTTCTTTTTTCTGATTTAAGGCGTTGTAAAACACTTTACACTATATCACTTCTGTAATGTTATAATGTTCGATTTGTATTGCCTACATTTGTTCTGCAACAATACAAACTGGCTACACTGCAACCCACTAGTTGCGCGCGCATGTCATCTTTTATTACTGGGTCATTGCAAATTTTCTGATGGTGTGCAGACACCTTAAGTTATTGGAAGAGATTCTTGAGCCCTTGGTAATCCATGGGTTTCTTTTCTTAGGTTTTATATTTACAATGGGAAAAGTGGCATTAAAGATATCAACAAGTGTCAGGTGAAATGAGTGCAGAGCATTGTCCCCCAGAACAACGCTCTGGTCCGTCTCAGTGCATACATCTGTGAATTGGCTGTAGTTGCGCCTAGAAAACAGACTTCCCAATTTTGGGGACCATCACCAACCATCATCAAAATTGGAACATACATAATCCAAAATTGATTGCTTGTATTTAAATATTCATGGCAGTTGATGGATGCTAGGAAGTTATTAAGTTAGTTCTCTGTAGTTTGCATTTTCAAAATCATAATAAAAGTCTTCATAAGATAAATTGGTATTTTTGAATGTACCGGCCACCGGCATTACAAACTCATACCCATGATGGTGAAAGCTATTATTCAAAAGTAAATCTGAGGCAAGTGTGACAGTAACATCTTTGGTATCAGAGAAAAATAAATCTAAAAATACATTCCTACTGTTAGGTAGTTCATTGATTTGAAAAAGTCTAAAATAATCGAATACTTGAGCCACCAAAAGGGCAGAGTCGCCCTGAGGACACTGCACCAAGGCTCCAAATTCGTTATTCGATCAGGTGGCATTAGGCAAGTTATAATCACCCATCAAGTAAATAGGTTCCTTCGGGTATCGTTGACGGATCCTTTCTACTGTTTCACAGTGCCAATCATAAACTTCCCTGGGGGGATGTAAACTCCCTCTATGGTAAACTTGACTTAATTTTTTTCACACAGAATAAAGAGTTGCTCTACCCGATTTTCCGCAAGTTTTATGCCTTGTGATTTAATACTCTTTTTCTATTTTGGTGTCATATCGAAGTCTTTTCGACACTAAAAGTAGTTTCGAAAAGAAGCTCTTTGTGACACTCCTTTTTTACTTATCGAAGGTTGGTAACACTGGCTGACTGATGGCCATCGAACTGTCATTTGCGATTTTATAATAGAAGATTTCTATATTTGGCATGTAGTTTTACCAACCTAAACATATGAAATCAGGGAATATGAGAATAAAATGTCCAAGAAAAATTTGTTTTTTTTAATTAAACAATACCAAAATAGAAAAAATAGTATAAAATATTCGTCTCATAATATGAAACTTGTATTTTAATGTACTATTCTGACCAATATTATAACACCACCCCGTTAAATATTGATCATTGGTATTATAAAATTGAAAATTCTCCAAATCCAGAACATCTTTTTTTTTTTTTGTCGTGACCGTCTTACTGGCTCAAATAGTTTTTTATGCAAAAAGTGTGTAAAGTGAACTTTTTTTTACGAATATGCGAGTGCGACAATCACATTTTTGAAAAGAAGGTGCTTTGTGCTCTACGCACGTATTGCATACAAAAAAATTTCTACTACCATCAAATATGCGTAAAAAAATAGATATAGACAAGTACTTTACGCACTAGTGCGTGGAGTACTTTCACTTTACACCATCCTATTCGCACTAGTGCGTGAAGTAATTTACCAGAAAAATAATAAATTGACAGTGTCGACATCTGTCATTGACATTACTTTACGCACTAGTGTGTGAAATGAATTACTTTACTTACTAGTGCGTGAAGTGAAATTTCACGTCTTCTGAGTAGTAGAAAAAATATTGTTTTACCGTTCGAATAATGTGAAAAATTATATTATATTATTTGTTTTCAAGGTTCTTAAAGCTCAACCAGTTTTGCTAAAAGAAGTATCAGACGAAATGACGGATCCAGCCGCCCAACCAACCGTCTGGGTATCAAAATGGGTCGATTACTCCGATAAGTACGGCTTCGGCTATCAACTTTCAGATGAAAGCGTCGGCGTTATGTTCAACGACACCACTAGACTGATTATGTTAGCTAACGGACTGTAAGTTTATTGCAATAACACCAATATCGTTATTTTTCTTCAATAATTTTTTTTAGGAATGTCCAGTACGTGGATAGAAAAGGCGACGAGGCCTACATGACTGTACAAATTTACCCACAAGCGCACGACAAAAAAATGAAGTTGCTGTCGTACTTTAGCCGATACATGAGCGAGCATCTGATCAAAACTGGCGCTAGCGTCGCCAAGGAAGCCGATACTGTGTCCAGAACGCCACATTTGCACCAGTGGTGCCGCTCAACTTCCGGTGTAATGATGCAACTTAATAGCGGGATTTTGCAGGTATTTACGATTATTTTATTTTGGTTTTTGGTTGGCTTAATTGGGTCGTTTTCAGATTAATTTCGGAGATCATACAAAAATCATTATGTGCCCGTTAATGTCGGCAATTACTTATATCGATGAAGATAAATCGTTCCGTACTTTTAGATTTAGTACCTTGGAACAGCACGGATGTTTAGCTGGGTTGTTTGATAAAATACGATACGCTTACGATAAAATCTCTATACTTATAGAAAATGCATCTAAAGGATAAGTCTTATTATTAATTTATATTTTTTTTTCAATGTTTGTATCTACTTTCGTTTTATATACGGTTTTCTATTTCTGGATTTGTACCATTTCATCCAATATTTTCCATGTGTGCCTTAACACTATCATGTTGGCTGGCATTGTAACAATGTGCTGGATGTTTAGTTATATAAAAACCTTAACCTATACTATAATATACTTATTTTATTTAGTTATTGTCTCATTTGTTTAGTTTGTTTTATAATATAACATAGTTAATAGTTGAACTGATTTGAACATATTTAGTTATTTAAGATTGCGTTTTGTAGCTCATAAATGTTCTCCATAAAATAAATTTTTCCACTATTTAGTTTTGAGTTTTGGCCTTCCCTAACATGTCTCAAAATCAAAAATAATGAAGGTTCTGTTCCTAACCATCCAACATCCAACGAAGGTACTATTCAGGTTTTTGTTTTCAATAATAATTATTTTAACAATATAACACAAAAGTATAAATAGAAAAAAAAAGCTAATAATTAATTTTAAACAAAAGTAAGCGATTCTTCTCTATACGGAGTTATAGAATGTAAATTTCTCAAACTATGACTCCCTTCCAGTAATCTGTGATGGCTTCTCGATTCTTCCGCTAACATAACGCCACGCCTTGGATTGTTAAGGTTCAGTACCCAATCCTTTTTTCGGTTCCTCAATAAACTCCTAGAAAACTCGGACAATTTTTCCTTTATTTCAGGCAATTGATCCAACATTTTCCATAATACTTTGTGCTTCAACACTATCATCTTGCACGGAGATATTGCTGTCATTGTAACAACGTGCGGGATCTTTAGTATTACTGCTATGTCCCCGTAATAAGCGCCATCTTCTAAATGACAAATCTAATAAAGAAAATAAATTGCTTTAACAGTTACTCAACAATACTAAAAATGCTTACTTCGACATCATGTTGATCATGCAAAGCCACTGTGCCGTTTTTAATAAAGTATAAGCAATAGGAATTGGTGTTCACTCTAAATACGATATCACCCGGACAAAAGTAAACGTGATCTATATTGGCCACCAAGGACTTGATGACCGGATTTGGCAGCAAATGCAAAAATCTGATCTTTTGAAAGGTGTGTCCGATTTTGTAGTTAGGGATTTCCTGTAATAATGGAAAATTTATTGTCAGGGAACTTGTCAATTTTCTTAGGAACTACTAGAATCTGACTGGGATGAGTTACAAATGGATTTATTTAATTGATGAGTTGATAATTATAGGCCAGTTTCTAAGTTTAGTATTATCGCAAAGTTATTTGAATCAATAGTAACTAATAAGATAACTCCTTTAGTGTACAGTGTATTATCGTCATCTCAAAATGGTTTTGTTAAGGGTCGTTCAACTGTTACGAACTTTCTGGTCTACACTGAATCAATGGTGAATGCCTTGGAGGACAGATATCAGATTGAGTCAGTCTACACCGATTTGTCCAAGGCTTTTGACAGGGTGCAGCACGATATTTTGTTACACAATTTGGAGTGTATAGGTTTTCATGGTCCAATTCTGGCCTGGTTTAAGAGTTATTTATCAGACCGTACGCTGGCAGTTAGGATAAAGAATGTGATATCCAATATTAATGTGTTATCTGGAGTGCCCTAAGGATCACATTTGGCGCCAATACTTTTTGACATTTTTATAAATGATCTTGTTTCGAAAATTAAATTCAGTAGTAAACTTCTTTATGGTGATGATTTGAAGTTATTTAAGACTATAAAGAACACCGAAGATTGCCTTGAGTTGCAAAAAGACTTAAATAGCCTGTGCATGTGGTGTAAGCTAAACGGTATGGAATTGAATATTCAGAAATGTAAGATCTTAACTGTATCTAGAAAAAAACAGAACCATTTGCTTATGAAATCTATGATGAGCAACTGGAAAGAGTTAATGTTATAAGAGACCTGGGAGTTTATACTGATAGTGAGCTACGGTTTCATTATCATATAAATTATATGAGGAATAGAGTGATAAAAATGTTAGGCTTTGTAAACAGAACACTGATAGATTTTCGTGATGTCACGTGTTTTAGAACACTGTATTGTAGTTTGTAAGATCGGTGTTGTAGTATGCTAGTCCAGCCTGGTCTCCATATCATAACGTTTATATAGATGTTTTGGAGAAGGTCCAGAGACGATTTTTGAGAACTATAAATTTTAAACCGGGAATTCCCATGGAAGATATTAATTATGAACATTTGTACGAAAAGTTGAATTTACCACTTTTGGAAGATAGAAGGACTCAATTTGATATAGGTACCTACTTACTTTGTTCAAAATTGTAAATGGCATGATTGACAGCCCTGAATTGTTATGTAATATTGATATTAGAGTGCCCCAAAGATTAACCCGTCAGCATGATTTATTTGCAATAGGTTTTCATAGCTATGGTTTAAATAGTCCTATGTCCAGAATATGTGGGCTGGCAAATTCAAACTGTGGTAGTGTTGATCTTTTCTGTTCTGATCTTCCTTGTTTCAAGAGACTTATACAGTTAATTCTTAAATTGTATTAAATTACTGGCAAGGCTGGGTGAATCTATTAATTATCCTATTCTATTTTTTGTAGTTGTATTTCAATTTTTGTTTGTCTAACTTTAAGTGATTTTTGATGTTATATATTTATGATAGATTGTAGAAGCTTAATGAAAAGTCCGTTAATAAACAAATTAAATAATATTGCACTTATATTACTCTTACAGCTCTTAGATTCTGTGGAAACTCTTTCACAATAACAGATTCATTATGATAGCGATTCTGAAATTTGTACTGGTAGTACCGGTAAATTTCGCCTCTGATATTGGACGGCAGGCCTTTGTGTCGAATGAATCCGTCCAACTGTTGAAATTGCTCTTCGCCTACTTCGGTCAAAAACAGGAACCGTCTCCATAGGACAAAGAGTTTGCCTAAAACGAAAATATATTGTGTTGTGGCTTAACGATGCCAGTAGGTACCCATAATCCAATATTGCAAAAGCAAGGAAAAGCCTATTATGCAACAGTCGCCTATGACTTCTACAACGTCTACGGGATCATGTCTTATACCGACTCCTAACATCATGAAAGCTGTCTCGAAGATTACTTGTTGAGCCATTTCTTCGTCAGCTTTTCTCTAGAAATAAAAAAGGGAGCTTCGGTTATTTAATCTATAGGTAATTAATTAACAGCTTTGATAAAAACTAATGATTGAAGCGGAATTACCATTTTTTGTGATTTCTGACCGAGTGAATGTGACATTAATGCCTTTAGGAAATATTTCTACATCAACATTATCATCATCAGAGGTGATTTTTTTGTTTGGAGAGAACCTTAGTCTCCTGAAAAACCATATTTGATTTTTCCTTTATTCTTCCAATTTTTTTCTCTCCTACTTACAAATAAGTTTTTTGATGGTTTTTTTAGGAAGAGCCTCTTAATATATATAGGTAAGAGCCGGTTTATTCACTTTCTAATAAACTGTCAGGTAATGAAATTTGACGGATAAAAACGCAATATGTAATCCCATTGGTCAATCAATTATCCAGTGACCAAGAGGATTATAGATCTGTAAATTTAAATTAAAACAGATATAGTTATCAGCAAGTTTATCTCAAGATGAATGAACCGGGCCTAAGATAGAGAACATTGGATGTTAGTGAATACAATTTTAATACAAAAACAGGTGTGCGAAAAAGTCGTCGGATTCAAACATTTAAAATACTGGAGGATGTTTTCCAGCAGGTCTCTTTTCCTATTTCAACCGACATCTCAAGCAGCAAAGATTAGTCGTTATGACGTCGATTAACCAAAATTTGACGTCGCGAAAGAGGCTGCAATATATGACTTGTTTGGGACGTCACGTAGTGGACGTTTATTTGACCATGACAACAGGTTCAAAAGTTACCATGTACAACCCAATATGACAATATGACCCATTCAGATAAAATACCCCGTATTAAGACATCGTTGAATTGGACGTATATCTGGTCAGTGTGGATCGATTGAAAAAATATATATCTACATAGTAATACCACAGCTTAAATACTGATGAATCATCACTGAAGTAAGAAATAAAAGGATTAGAGTAAACAAGCTATTGTAGGAAATATGTTTCCATATCAGAGACTAGATTTTAAAAAACTATTTTATTAGGCGTTGCAGCGTTCTTTTATATGAAAATAGCGTTTACTATGCATTTTCTGGATAAACAACACCTGCAAGGAAGGGATTTCCCATTATGCGTTTACATTTTAAGTTTAAATAAACAAATGAGCTAATTAACATAACGGAGAGTTTTGGTAGGTAAGCTTTTTCTAGTTGAGCATGTTTGGTATTAGAGTTTAAGGATTTGGCTGAGATGTTTTCAATAACTTTCTCTTAACAATTGAGGTATTGAAGTTTCGTTTTATTGATATCCAGGCAACAAATCATGGTTTGATTATTTCTTTTTGGTGTCCCCCGAGAAAGCCGTACGCCATAATAGGTAAGGATCTCATTTCTTACACGATTATACTATTAAAGATAAGTGTAGCAGTGGAGCACTACCGAATACCGGCGAGAAATGGTTGAATTATGATTTGCTGTTGGCTGTCAGCTGTACAACGTGGATTCAAGTGAATTCAGTCTAATGGGGCTTTAATAGAATAGCTGTCCATTTATCCAAATTGGAACATTTGACCATGTACGCTCCAGGAGACTCTAATTCTCTGGATAGTATTTTCTGCTTGATCCCGATGGTTTAGGATAGAAGAGCAGAAGGGCCTTAGTACCAGACAGGACTTAAAGTCACGGCACTTGCACTAGGGCGTAAGATAGGTAACTTACAACCAGACTAGAGCACTTGTTGTAAGTTGGAAAAAAAGGACCCAAGCCAGACAAAGCACTTGCTATAAGGTTTAAATTAAACCTGTAACCAGACAATGCACTTGCTACAGGTTTAGAGAAGGGCCTAATGTAACCAGACAGAGCACCTGCTACAATAAGGCTAATAGTTGGGGAGCTGGCGTCAAAAACATGCAAGAGTTTTCGCAAGGCGGATATTTTCAAAATAGGTCGTACTTTAGTGCTAGAATGCTAGTGTACAGTCAGCAGTCACAGTTCCGGGACAGCTGACTCTGGGACGCGGGCAAAGTTGTAATTTTAAGAAGCATCTAAACTGTTTTCTCAAAGCTCAAAATTTATAGAAATTTTGCACATTATCTGTTTGAAGGTCACAGATAACGTATGTAAATCGTCAGACGTCTAGTTCGTTGCAAAAAAGGGGGTCAGACGTCCTCAAAGTTCTTATTTTATGGCATTTTCTTCAAATATATTTGTCAAATACCTGCAAAAATATATTTTGACAGGACACCGGAGAAAATGCCATAAAATAAGAACTTTGAGGACGTCTGACCCCCTTTTTGCAACGAACTAGACGTCTGACGATTTACATACGTTATCTGTGACCTTCAAACAGATAATGTGCAAAATTTCTATAAATTTTGAGCTTTGAGAAAACAGTTTAGATGCTTCTTAAAATTACAACTTTGCCCGCGTCCCAGAGCCAGCTGTCCCGGAACTGTGAGTGCTGACTGTACACTAGTATTCTAGCACTAAAGTACGACCTATTTTGAAAATATCCGCCTTGCGAAAACTCTTGCATGTTTTTGGCGCCACCTCCTGGACTATAAAGAAAAGTAATTGTTAGAGCGCAGTCTCACGACTCTACTAGCGTTGCTAGGCCAATGGTGACTTGGGCACAATTTAAGTAAGAGAAACAACAATAAGTTTGAATCTCACGACTTTGTTACACCAAATCGAAGCAAGCCTCAATTCTAGGCCGTTATGGCCACTCTCTGACGAAGTAGACGACTATTTCGTCCTAACTCCTGGTCATTTTTTAATTGGAAGGGGAATATTATCTCCAATTGACCCAATAGCAAGTAATATAAATTCCAGTTTGTCAGAGAAATGGAGGCTTACCCAAAAAATGAAAAAGGACTTCTGGAAAGTTTGGAGCACAGAATACTTAGGAAGATTGCAGCAAAAATATAAATGGCAAAATCAGGAAACCAACCTTAAGAAAGGAACCATGGTAATTATAAAAGAAAATACAATAAATCCCAGCCAATGGCCCTTAGCACGCATAACAGATGTTCATCCTGGAAGAGATGGCGTAGTAAGAGTAGTCACACTCAAGAAAGCAGACAGAGCTACATTGAAACGACCGATACATACACTGATCCCACTTCCATTAGAAGAAATGGGAGAAGAAACACTGACCATTCCCACTCAGGTTACAGCAAATATGGCCATAACCTCAAGCAGTCACAATATCAAAAGAGAATGCACTGTGAAGCAGCATGTGAAAACCAAGAAATCAAAAGTATCTTATTTTCAAATCATTCAACTATTTATGTTATGGTTCAGTTTGATGCTTCTCCCAAAATGTCAAAGCAGCTATGTTATAAAATATCCCGAAGGAGGTATTTACATCGAACATTTTGGAACGGCACAAATAAATAGAGGAACATTTAGAATGGAAGTCACTTATAACAGAACAAAAATCAAGGAAGACATCCAGAATGTAACTAGCGTCGTAAACAATTTTGAGATGCTGTGTAACAAGACAAGACAACTATCGGAAGAAACGCACTGTGAAATATTGGACCATCATCTAAAAGAGCAACAACAACATTTTAGCTGGATATTTAAGACCCTGCAAGAGATACAACTTCGTCCAAAAAGAGGTTTATTGGGAAAATTTATGACGTCCGTTTTTGGCGTCAACGATGAGGTCTACGAGGATATAAATAATATAAACAAAAATCAAGAAATGTTGATAAAAGCTTCCAATCACCAGACACAATTCATGATCTCCGCACTATCAACATTCAATACAACCGAACAAAAAATAAATAACCAACTTCACAGATTCCAAACAAGGCTTAATCAAGGATTAGAAGCAATTCAATCTATGAACAAATGGTTTTCAAGTATAGACATTAACAGCCTAAACATTCATGTCCTAAGCGCTTATCAAATAGCAACTAACTACATTGCAGAAATAAGTTCATACTACGAGAATATGATAAATATCCAGTTTAACAGGGGAACAATCTACGACATCATATCTCCAACGTATCTTCATACTCTGATAACGGATATCAACAGAAAATTACCGAACAACTTAAAAGCATTATCTACGCCTTTGATAAAAATGTCCCTATGTCAGAATAGCAGCCACTTCCAAGTTTTTGGCTATTTTCCCATAATAGAAATATCACAGTTTGATGTTATAAAAGCAACCCCAATTCCAGTACGAATATCCAACAACTCTTACTGGACATTAGATATATCGAACGATTATATCGCGATCGATTATAACTCTCAGCTTTACTTTCAACTCCATAAAGAAGAATTCGAACGATGCTTGAAATTAAAACATCACATGTTTCTCTGTTCTCCAGATGTTATAAGAAACATAAATAACGACGGCAACTGTATTATTGATGAAATATACCATAAGCCTGAAGCCAAGAAATGCAAAACTTTCACAAATTCAGTGCAGGCTACTATATGGAAACAAATGGCCACGCCAAATACATGGTTATTTATTACTAATGGATCAGCCAATATAGCTATTATTTGTGGTGGAGTCCGGGAAGATGTTGACATTATTGCAACAGGAATTCTCAGCTTGGCTCCCGATTGTATTATAGAAACCAAACAGCTAACACTAACAGCAATACGAGTGGAGCATAGCAGTTTAACCAGCTATTCCAAAGCTGTCTCACTCGATAGACACGACGAACCCACACATATTCAACATTCACAACTTCGGCCAGCATCTGAGTCAGTAATTGGGCATTCAGATGATTTAACCTCACTAATGACAGAAGAGAAGTCAATTCAGATTGAACTTCAAAATCATATATGGAGAGATATACGACATCATTCTAGCATAGTTGGAGTGACAACTACCATTGCAACAATCCTGGTAGTTTTGGGTGTCTGGATAGGCATCAAATATCTAAGACTTCGAACAAGAGAGAAAAAGACCACCAACAAACCTAAAGAGTATGAACTACAGCCCCTGAAGTCGACAAATTGAGAGGCGGCAGAATGTCCATTTATCCAAATTGGAACATGTAA